AATACTAACACGTTTCCTTTCCTCTCCCTTACCTGTCAAGCTGATCCGTGACACTTTGCCCGAAAATATGGAAACAGAGAAGACCCTCAGAGAAACTTACTCAGTCAGCCAAGATGATATCAGCAATAGCCAGGCTGTCTACCAAGACTACCTGCACCTTATCAATTTGGACCGTGGCCATTTGAACCCCGCTGCCCATCACAACACCCAGGACGGCAGGAACGCGACCTTCACCTTCACCAACGTAGTGCCCCAGGACACTGAGCTCAACAACGGCGCCTGGAACGTCTATGAGCAGAAAACGATGGCCAAGAAAAGCAAGAACTGTCAAACCACCTATGCCATTGTGGGGGCTGTGCCTGGGACCTCCTTCATCTCCCAAAACAGGGTTAATGTACCCAGCCACATCTGGGCCAGTGCCTGCTGCAAGACCACCAATAACACCGTGATTGCTTGGGGAGCCATTGCCCAGAACAATGAGAACAAGGTCCGGGTCCTCAAGCTGGGGGCACTGGAGGAAATGTTGGCCCAACTGTATAACAGGGGAGCAGTTTCTCTGTTCCCTGTGGACTGTCCCCGTACATAAGCCTCACATCCCGGGTTGGGGGCTTTTCCCACATGTCACAGAGTCACAGAATGCTGTGATTGGAAGGGATCTCAAAGATCATCTAGTTCCAAAACCCCCTGCAAAATGGCAGGAACACTTTCCACTAGACCAGGTTGCTCACAGCCATGTCCAACCCGGCCTTCAACACTTCCAGGGATGGGGTAGACACAGCTTCTCTGGGCAACCGGTGTCAGAGCCTCAGCAATCTCACAGGGAAGAATTTCTTACTAATACGTAGTCTGACCCTGCCTTCTGTCAGTTTAAATCCCTCTTCTCCTGTCAGTCCACGCCATTGTTCAAAGTCCCCCTCCAACTCTCACGGAGACCCTTTAGGTAATGGAATAGGATCTATATTCTCCTCGGAGCCTTTTCCAGCTGAGCAGTCACAACTCTGTTACCCTGTCTCCAGAGAAGAGGTGCTCCAGCTCTCAGAACACCTTTGTGGCCTCCTCTGGACTCCACTCCAACAGGTTTGTGTCCTTCTCTTGTTGTGAGCCCACGGACAAGGAAATCAGAGCTTCTCCCTGAGACCAGAAGGGCCTTGTTTGCCTTTTGCTCCATGCCCAGATACAGGTCTTAGTACCTTCCTCTCCTCATTAGCTGTCCCTGAGAGTGTGCTGTTGGCTTGTCCCTCACCTCCTTAGGAAGGCTGTGGGACTAGGGTGGCTCACGTTGCCCACCTCAGGTGTTGTGGAGTCTGCATTGCTGGAGAGGCTCAAACCCCAAGTGGACATGATCGTGGACAACCTGCTCTAGCTGACCCTGCTTGAGCAGGAGTCTGGACTAGGAGATCTTGAGAGGTCCCTCCAAACCTCAACAGTTCAGTGATTCTGTGATCCTGGGATGAGGTTTTGTTTGCTTGCTTTTGAAACCTGCAAATTGTAGAAGCTATAAAGATAGGCAGGCTCAGGCATCAGATAAGAGGAAGCTTTGACCAATCAGAGATAAATTTCTGCAACAAACTGCTTGGATAATTTCATTCTCTGCTCTGCTTCTGAAACCTTTTCTGCAGATTCAGTGCTAAGTGATTTTGTCACATGGGTTCAGTGGAGTCCTTCTAATCAATGCATTCAGTGTGTCAATCAAAAGGTCAGTGTGTGCCAGATCCTGTAGGTCCTGAGTAGTTTGCAATAAAAGTCATTTGCTCCAGTGCTGCATTGCAGGGTCATCTTATATATAAACCTCAAGTTGCTTCTTGCTGAAATGTCCACCACCAGTGATGTCACAGTACCCAGAGCATCCTTGCAGCACGAGGGGTGTCCAAATCCAATCTAAAGATGCCATAGCATGTCCTAAAATGTCCCCATCAGACTGCAGTTACCTCTCCGAGGAATGG